GGTGGAGGACGAGCAGCACTAGCAGCAGCGTTTGGGGGCATTTTGACTACGATTTCTCCTCAACCCTGCTTTATCAGTTAATGGCGAATAAGGCCTGAAGAGCTGAAAAGTGTCCACCTGTTTTATGGAAGGCAAAGCAGGCTAAATCCAAGCCGTTAGTTAAACACAACGTTTGCAAGGGCACAAAATCCCTTTTGATCCTGTTTGTTCTATGGGACTTGCTCCTCCAGCACCATCAGTCTCCAGAGCCAGTTGTTCGGACACAGTCTCTTCAATCCTGGCCTCCAGACAAAACGATCTAGTGCTACGGGTACATCTGAATCACAAATTTCATGTCCAATTCTAAAATCCCTAAGTTTTGTTCATTGAAAGTATTTTGTTTCCCAGGAGCAACTGTTCAACCGCAGGAGGTTGAGATCCTTTCCCCACCCCGTCGTCACTTCTTGCTCTCTTGGCCACACCGAGCACAGCCTAAATGCCCTCCCCAGCACCCCTGCCCAGAAGGGAGTACCACTTCTCTCCCCAGAGCACGATGCCTGGTGGAAACGTGCGGCAACCACGGATCGAGCTTGTTTTAACCACATTTCAGCATGATCCTTTTCAGCAGTTTGCACTGGACAGATGGGATTACCATCCATGCAGCTGCACATTAGTGCCTCGGAGGCAGACAAATTGAAAGGGCTGCTGTCAAAAGAATTTTCTTACCCATACCAGCTAAATTAAGTCTTCCGCATCAAGAATGAAAAACGGTTTTCAAATACAATCACTGCTCTATATAACATGGGAAAATCCGTCCATTATAACAGCTCTTTCCTGGAAAGAAACGAATATTCACATTTGCTAAATCTGCAATCCTATTATGTCACCCTACTCTCTACATCACTCCTCAGGCAAGAGTTTCCGAAGGCAGGGGCTTCGGCAAGACCGTCTCCTTAGAAAGCTCCCATGTATGAGACTCCTTCCAATTGTTCTCGCCTCTGTACTACTGCAGTTGTGTCAGAGCCACTCTTTATGGAGCCTGTGAACCAGGCAGCTGATTAATCCATGTTATTTTTGATTGCTTTTGAGAAGGAAAAATGGATGGGGGAGGGAGGCTCACAGCACAGCCACAGAGTGCAGCGTGGCAAAGCCAGGGACTGAGATTCCAAAATGTAGACTGCTGGCAAAGTTCCCAGACCGTGAAATCATGCCCTTGATCACCTACCCGCCTTCAGCTTCTTCCAGCTCTTGGGTTATGGTTTTCCTTCTTCTTAAAGACAACTTCTGGTAAGAACTATGTACTACCATTCAGCGTTTATAGTTTGAAAGACTCACACGGAGAGTGGAGTAAGACATGTTCTGAACCTGTGGTTTTGAAGGGTAGAGAAAATCCCGTTACTCCTTTCTGGGTAATTCCTACACACAACGTTTGATGGCTGCACCTTTGTCCCACATGGCAGGTAACCAGCTTCGTGTTAACTGGTATCGCATAGGCCTTGAGGTTTTTTAGATTCAAAAAACAACAGATCACAACAAAGTAGAGTTCTTAGTTCCCATGCAACCTCTGCCCTCAAAGAGGAGCAACTCACCTGGTGATGCTTTTTAGGGAACCCAGAGCAGCAGCCAGGAATTATGATTAGACCACAGCCCTCCTGTGCTATGGCAGCAGGAACAGGAAACTGGATGAGAACCTTTTCTTTCAGTTGTGAAAGTCTGAGGAGTAGAAAAGAGGGCAAGACAGAGCCCAGACTTCTCTAGACTAACCCAGAGATACTGCTCTGTAATTCATATGAAATTTGAATTGCATTTGTAACTCAAAGAAAAGCAATAGCTTCAACAAAAAAACCCACAAACCCACATGGGAATCCATTTATTTCATCTCTATTGTCTCAACGCAGAGCAGACCAATACAGATGAAGGGGGAAAACGCGTAAGAGCAGCTGAAAAAATAGAGCTAGAAAATACGATTCTCTCTGCATTTCCAAAAGTGACAAATGTGGTGGAGTGATGCTGCATTTCCTCCCAAGACTCTCCATCCTCAGCCCCAGGGCTGATGTACTGGAAAGCTAACGAGTCCCCCTCTCCCACAAGCCCCGTGCTACCTCCTACTAGGGTATCTTCCCAGGAACCACAGAGACTGTCCAGGCCTGTGCTAGCAGCGAAAAAAAAAAAACAACTCAGAATTTCCTTTCTACAGTGTCATCCACTTTGCATTCCTGAACGCTGAGCCCAGAATCCTGACTGTGGTTTTCAGTCTTGGCAAGGCTCAGCGCTGATGCAACAACGCCAACTCACGGGCTCTCACCTGGCAATGCCTCAACTGAAATGCCAGCCTCATTTTGAGAAAGACATCTTGGGAAACAACAGGCACTTCTTTCTCTGCAAACTTGCTTCCTCCAGAGCCCTAGTACAGGGGCCGCTTAGCTGCAGTCCCTGGGTGGGGAGGGGGATCCCCCAAAGCTAGCATACTCCCCCAGTCCCTGCAGGCTAACCAGATTAATCCTCCTTCCAGGAAAGCCGGAAGTGGATGGTACCTTCAGACTCCATGACAACTGAATGATAGGGGAAGTAGTTGGCAAAGAGGAATAAAAAAAATATTGCACTAAGCCTCCCTCGTTACAGTGAAACTAATTACTGATGTAAGCCTGGGGTATGGAAAGCTGAAAAAATTTTAGGCAACGGTTCCTGGGCAGAGAGCACTGCAAGCACGAGCTCTCCAGCGCTCTCTGAAAAGTAGGACAGGAGCTGTCATAAAAAAAGAACTGTGTCAACAGTTCAGGAATCTCTTCGTAAATGCCTCTGCTGTGGGCAGCATACCTGCCTCTCGCACTGACCCAAATCGCCCTCTTAAGGGCCGAGCCTTCTCGACAAGGCCCTGTGCGGACTGGAGGGCTGTGCTCATTTACAAAAGCTGTTCCAAGACACAGCTGAGTTGGTGCTGTTCCCATGGCGGCACCTGTTTTGTGTCCAATGACGCCTCTAGTTCAATTAGACCTGTTTTTAAACAGATTTAAGCACAGTGAGGATAACCTCTGCAGAAAAGATGATCTGGTAACGGTGCACGTCTCTGTGGCCACAAAACATCCCCATGGAACGATGGCCTGGTCGGTCCCATGAGCTGGGATGTGGGAAAGCACTAGAAATGTCTTTTTTTTTTTTGTCTCAAATTGCCAAAAATTTTATCCCAAGCGTCACACAACAAACTCCTCCTTTTAAAGCCTACTTACTGTCAGCCTTTCATACCCCTTTCATTCCTTACTTAGCACATGGTTTTTCTAGACACGTTTTTTTAAATCTTTTCACCAGCAGTTTCACCCTTCCCGTTTCATCCTCCCTTCAGTATTGTTTGCTGCTGTGCCCTTTACTTGAAGGGCTGTCAGTATTATTTCTTATCCATTCATCCCCACAGACTAACTCCACTGCGAGGTAAGAAGCCCAGGAATAGGCTACCATCTATATTTTTGGTTATAGCGTGCTCTTAAATAGTCTACACCGAACACAGGAAAAGCTAACCAGGGATTAAGTCTTTCTTCCCAGTGAGTGTGGTGAAGCACTGGAACAGGTTGCCCAGAGAAGCTGTGGATGCCCCATCCCTGGCAGTGTTCAAGGCCAGGCTGGATGAGGCTTTGAGCAACCTGGTCTAGTGGAAGGTGTCCCTGCCCATGGCAGGGGGGTTGGAACTAGATGGTCTTTAAGGTCCTTTCCAACCCAAACCATTCTGGGATTCTATGATTATCGGCTGCAGACCAGGCTGTAGTGTTCAACTGTTGCGCAAACTGCCCAGACCTCTGCCATGACAGCCTAGAGCTGCTGTAGCACACCAGGCAGGGCTAACACGCTACACCTCAAGAGAGCTCTGAAATGTGGTGTGGGGCAGAGAGTGGGTGACTCGGATCTCAAGAGCAGGCTCAGAGCCACGTTCAGCTAATGGTTATGAGGAGTGGGAGCTCAGTTGCAACAGCTACATGGCTTTCCTTCCACATATAGGTGAGCTGGTAGTATGACAAGAGAAGAAACATTTACTGACCATTTTTCAGACAAATAGTTAGGCTGTGCTGGCTATGGGAGTGGTTAGGGATGAGGCGAGTAATCTCCAAGCTGAGCCATTTAACTGTAGTGACTTGTCCTAAAGTGCCTCAAGCTTTTGGCTCGATTTCAACATAAACAAATACAAAACAGAACAAAGCGGTGGACTGCTGAGGCTAATACTACCTTTAGGAACACGTGATGTCAATGAAAAGCTGGAGATCAAGTTGGAAAGGGTCCTTTCCCCTCTACCTCATAGCACCGTTACCTTCTCATGGGCAGGGAGTTCTGGCTAAAGCCGTTATTGTTGCTTTGCCATCCCTGTTCCGCCTCCAGCCCGTAGAGTTGTAGGAAAAGTCCTTCCTCTTCATCAGCTACAAGAATCGCCTCTGTTGTTTTCACACAAGAGCTTAGGAGGTGCAGTTCCATCAGAACGAACTGAATGAAACATTGTCCATTCACTGTGGAGCAGTTCAGTTCATTTCTGTTCACCGTGTCTTCTGCTCCGTAAAGAAGCAACAAAAAACCCCAAAAAAACGGAAGCCCTGATGTGCGGATTTTAGCAGAACAGGGGTAGGAGAGCCAGGGAATGAAGTCCTGCACACCCAGACCTCTTTCTCACCTGCTTCTCATACTAGCAGCCAGACCTGCACGCACACACACAGGAAGTAACATTAGTGTTCCTTATTGCTTTGTAACAGCTCAGAGTCACTGCGGTGGCTCTGGGGAGCATCATGAGGTCCACGCAGAGGTCACTCAGTTGTGAGCGAGAGTAGCACCATGACCGTAATGCCTGTACACAGGAGCAGAATTTGCTGCAGGGAGTTCCTGGGAAAGAAACAGCAAAATTAGGAGGAGCCACAGACCAATCACAATAGGCAGCAGTGTAGAGGCTCACAAACAGTTTGTTCTTCGCCCTTCCAAACCTACCACAAGGAGAACACAGCACCTGTATGAAGTCACCAACACAGCTGACAAGACTCTACAAGCAAAGAAGTTGTCTATAATCAGACATGTATTTGTTCAACTCGGCTGCAAGGCCCAACTTGGGGTGTCGAAAATCAATTTAAGCCAATTCAGTCATGCAGCTACTCAGGTATATATTCTCATCCTTTCTTTCACAAGAAAACCAGCACTTCTGCAGCATGAACACAGATACATTAGGGACCTCATTCAGCTAACAACTACAGTTAGGAAAATAATAAAATTAAATAAAAAAATATTAATTTTGCCATTCTTTTAGCACCATTTCAGGTTTATGCTGGATTGACGTGACTGCATACCCACCACCTCTGCATACTGTGCCAACAGCTCTGCCCGCACAAGAGTTACTACCTGAAAAGCAAGCTCCCAACTGGTCATTAACATTTCTCCACCAAAAGTTCCTGCCTCCTCAGATACAACCGTGGAGCTGGTTTTTGAGCATTTCCTTAACTGTTCTGTCAAAATGAACTAGGTGAGCAAAGGCCTCTTGTTTAAACTACTGAAGCTACCCATCTCATTACAACTGAAATAGGAGAGAACATTCTGGGGCAGATCTGAGAGGGCCTTTACTGTGATACAACTGGATTTGGCCCTGCTACAGCCTTAATCAGACTGCAAGAAACTCGAATAATACAGATGAGGGGAGACCAAATATACCAGAATATATGGTACGCTGATGTAGAAGAGCGTGGGATACGGTAGATGATGTAGACTGAGGTGGGATACGGTAACAAACTAGGAAATGCTGAATAATAAAGAGAGAAAAACTTATTTTCTCCTCACACAACAACATCAAATCAAAATTAATAAGCAGGAGTCTAAAAGACAAATAATAAGCAGCATCATTTAACACAGGGCACTCACACTATGTGAATGTACTGCCAAAGGGAGATCACAGAAGCCCAAAGTTTTGACCCTAATGGATGGGGTCAAAAAGGGATGAGAGGAGCATGTGAAGGATAGATTCACATGTGGTCATCAGCCACACATGCCTCTATGGGGCCCTGGTTCAGACAGTCCCTAAACCAGTACATGCCAGAAGCTGACAAGACAGACTGGGTAACGGGTCACCTTACTGGACATGTTTCCCAGCAACCTGCTCTAGCTGGCCATGCTACATGATGCGCTGACATAATCTTGGGACTGACCCAGCTGAAGGTTCTCATGTTTGATAGGGTCTCGGTAGTCCCATAAATGCAATAGCTAGTGTAGCAGTCTATTCCAGACTTGCCCATGGGATTTGGAAAGCTGGCATTCATGTGCTCAGAGAACAGGCATGAGGAAGGCTTGTATCTCTGCTCCCTGGCAGCTAGAATTGCAGCAGCAGGACAGGAGGGAGCACTTACCATGGATTCTTTTCCTCCAGGAGATCAGGCACAACATTTACCAAGGCAATATACAGAAATCCTCCAGAAGTGAAAGGGAGGATCCAGGCTACTGTTTCCCCTGTACAAATACAGAAAGCTTTTGTTGTCACTGAGACAAAGCCATGGGAGAGAGCAGAGAAGGGAAAAAAGATACACACATGGGGACGATAAGTCACCCTTCCCACTCCTACAGAGCTCCCAGGGAGCCTTACCTGCTCCTTTTGGCGACTGAGCACATATTGCAAAGCAGGCTCCTAGAATTCCCCCAAGAGCTGTGGAAAGCTGCATCTTGGCTGCGCTCCAGCGGTCAAACCCAGCCCGAAGTAGGATTGCAAAGTCTCCAACCTAAGAAAACCAAGACCCGACAGTTAATGAATATGAACGTTCTCAGTCACAAAGGCCATCCACAACAAGACCCGTGCTTCAAGACTGTTTCTAGTTTTCCACATTGCCAGTCTCCCAGAGGGAGAAGCTTTCAAAGCAACAAAAAAATGTTACCCAGACCAAGCCCTCCTCCTTGCAGATGAGCCACCTTTGTAATCCCACACAATGGTAGGATACAAAGCCTTCTCACCTCATGTGGGATTTCGTGCAGGAGAATGGCCATTGTGGTTAGGAACCCAACCTGTAGCAGAGGAGAGGTGGTGATTAGTAACCAGTGCCTGAGATGAAACTTTCATCAGCATGTCAAGGTCCCTTTCTCCAAGCTAAAGACTAGTTACTCAGTTTAGAACTATTCAACAAAAGGGTAGATGAGCTAACCCTTCCCCTAATACCAGTACAAATGACTGTTTCCAAGCTTGAAGAAAGTCTGCATCAGAGGGTGAGAATAGGATTGGTTTTTACTGTAGGCAGGAACTCCTCACATCTTTGGGTTTTTTGCAGTTTGCATCACACTTGAGAACAATTCAGTACACATCTGGTGACAGAAACCTTACCTTTCTGCTAACCAGGAAGCTGGCTGCTACTGCCAGGCCATGTGTAAAGTTATCAATGGTGTTGGCCAGCAGATTGAGGTATCCACTAATCTGCAAAGAGAAGGAAGAGCCCCTGGTAAAGGAAGAGACATAACAAGATAAAAGAAAGCACATGCCTTAGGCACAGGTTATACAAAGTCATGATCAGATGGAAAAGGTCCAGGACATGGCACTCCTGGTGAAGATCTTTAACTATGTCTGTGCTCAAGTACAAATTAAATGTTATGTTCAGTTTTTGAGTAAACTAAGTTTTAGGGTAGGCAAGTAGTGTCTGAGATTATGATAACCATCTTATGCAAAGGACAAAGAGCTCTAAAAACAGAAAGAGAGAAAGGAAAAAGAAGAAAGCCAAAATGCAAGAATACATCTGATTCTAAAGCAAACCAATTTTAGGTAATGCTAATTTACACAGGTAACCAGCTTCAAATATAACCTGACCTTGTTTTCTAGCCATGTACTTTAATATCCAAGCCTTAAGTATCTCCTCTTCAAAAGCTGGCAAGAACAATGCAACAGAACAAATGCTGCTGAAACTGCTTTTTATAACTAAACAAATCTTCAAACATTGCACTAAAAAAGCTTGTGCCTGTGGGTTTGCTTTCCCTTAACAAAGAATAAAAAGAGAAGATAGTGATGACAGTCACCGAAAAACCACCCACTAGAAGGCTGGATAGCATGTGTGTGCATTTCTTAAAACCATAAGCCATAAAGCAGCTTCCTTCCTCACAAGTCCATCTCCATGTTAGACTTCCCTGTCACGCTAACTACGGTCATCTCCAGACAAATTCTTAGTATGTGACCTGAAGTGATTTATGAGGGTACCACCCCAGCTCTTTTGCTCAGTTTTGCGGGTTTTTTCCCATGAGATCTAACAAAAACTACTGCGTGTGGGTCTTGAGGTACTGCAGTTCAAACCAGGTGTTAGCCAATATACATCAGGCTGTCTCTGGACTGCAAGAACTAAGCTGGCATACATTAACTCCAGATACTGGGCAGCATCCAGCACGTGGAGAGACTGTCTAGAAAGTGTGAGGCATTAACCTATTACTTCACCATAGCATCAAATGCTGAAGTTCAGCTGGAAACCGCAAGTGCTGATGGGTTTCATGAGCCCTTTTTGGTCTTCTGCTCTCTGTTTCTATCAGACTCTGCCTGGGGCATCTTTTCTTCCTGCCATCTGTATGCCACCACTCAGGTGGGGCTTTCTGACTAGTCTCTCTCCAAAGCACCACCTTTCTGCAGGGCACTTCTACCGCACACTCTCAGGACATCTTTATAGGCTCTAAACTTTAAGTGCATTGACAATTGTGCTGGTTTTGGCTAAACCACGACAACAATTAAACATCAAAATAAAGAATTCAGCAAAGTCTAACTACAGATCACGTTGAAGTAATAACCTAAGTAACATCTCCACAACGGATGCAGAAGTTCCCTGCATGTTTTTGTAAGAAGGGGATCACAAAGGGATGCATGCAGGCAGACGCATGAACACAGCAGTTTTACTTCTCACTCCTCATTTTCAGTCAAATGACTGTCTAAAATTTCTCCTTCTTATGTTGGGATTTTATGTGATTGCATTTTCCCCACAGGCTAGTAATAATTATTCACAGAAGTTTTACAGAAAAACGCTTCCCTATACCACTGTATAGGGAAAAAATAGACTTCATGATTAAAACATTATGACTTTTTCTTGTCAGTGGCTTGGGCTAAAGCTGTCACTGAAAGAAGCAAAGCCTTGGAGTGCTCAGAAATAAATTGGGTTGATTTGACAGTTATGAGCCTCTGACATTTACAGCCTGCGAATTCCTAATAGGATGTTCCTGTTGTTCATAAAGAGCACAGCCAGATGAAGTGTTTTATGTTCACGCTTCAGAATTAATGTCACCGTGCAATAAAACACACTTCTACAAATCAGCAAGGACCCCATGTGCCACAGGGAAAAAGAAAGAATAAAAAAGGCAAAAGTACTCTACAATGTTTTTACTTGTTGAGGGAATAAAGACCGCAATGCAGGACAGAACTGATCTATGTTTGGGTGCAAAGGAAGCCTCCCACCTGCAGATTTCAAGTTAGGATGAATTATTACAGCAGCAGCAGCTAAAGACCAGAAGTTCTAACACATATGGACAAAGCACGACTGATTACAGTTTACTTTGACTCCTGAGGGGTGACTGTTTGTTTAAACAGTAACTTTCCCTTTTTTGTTTTCTGAAAAAAAAAGGGGGTTACAGAGTGAACAGTAGAACCAAACAAGTCTGGCTTGCTATAGCTTTCTCTCTTTTCTTTGTAAGCACCTACTTTGCTCACTTCCAGCAACCCCGTTTTCCTGCATGTCCCTTACCCCCTGCACTGCACGGCAGCCGCTTCCCCGCCAGGCAGGGCAGTGAGGCTTCCCCAGCGACCCACCGCCCGGCCAGACCCACCAAGCAGCCTGCAGCATCTTAACTCCCACCAGAGTTTTTCAGCATGACATTAGTTTGCATTCCTCCCCTACTGCCATGCTGATTTTCATGGAAGATGCAGAAATTTGATTACCCTCAAGACTTCTATCCTCTCTTGAACTTGAGTAAAATTAATTATGAGTTCAAAAGTTATTGAAAATGAAGGGCAGAACAGATGGACAGACAGATGGAATGACTGCTTCTGTTGTTGCCTAAGGAAACAGGCTAACAATGCAGGGATATCTTGGTACTTTTGATAATTTCCCCCGCTTCGAAAGCCCATTAAAATATTCAGATTATATGCTCAGAAGATAGAAAGTTAAAACTATACACGTTAACTCATTACTTTCTATTTCATGCATACTGACAACAGTCTATGAGACTGAACAGATGTGCTGGTGTTTTAAAGCTAGAAGGCCTCTCCATGGTTGCCTAGACCTTCTACATAACACAACTGAAAGAATCTCATTCAATTTCTGCACCAAGCCCATTGTTTCTTAAGCTATAGTCTACTTTGTAGAAAGCAGCTTAAATCACAGCCTAAAGCCCAGGAGTGACAAAGAATCTGCTATGCCTCTAGGGTATGCTGCACCACTGGCAAGTCACCATCAGTTACAGAGCTGTCTAATTTCTAGTCTGCTGCTGTTTGGTACAGCTTTAACTATTCAAATTTAGTCATGCCTCTTACATGGGTATCTGTATACCTTGTCACCCCTGATCTGTCACGTCTACAGAGCTAAAGACTGAAGAAAACCACTTCTTACCATGTACTGCAAACTCAAAATAATTACTTCAGCTCTTTCCTGACCCCTTTACAAATTATCAGTAGTATTTTGGATATTGTGAATAACACTACTGGAAAAAGTCAGCTAGCTGTTTCATTACTGCTAATCAGGAAGAGGAACACTTCCCTCTTCTCTTAAACACTATTTCCCACTCACCCACCTGCCTGCCTGTAGCATCATAATGGAAGAATGTGTTCAGCTCATTTCCTACCGTGATTCTCATACCTTTTTCCATGGCACTGACCTCCTAGAAACTGTGCCCATCTTGTAAATATGATCTGCATTCTTTCTTAATCTGTTCCTTAATATTTGCATGGATCAAAACACATTAAAAAAATCAGTTCTTTCCATGAAGTCAGCTAAACTGAGTAACATCACTGACCTCAAGCAGTCACAGTGTGCCGTTTAAGTAATACAGCAGTACCTGCAAATGTGTGGATATGCTGTTTTTACAAATAGCCACTTAGAAAAATCATAAGCCACCAGTGAACAGATTTGAGGGGGGCTGCATTAATCCAGTCCCTGTTGATTATACAGAACAACTGATTTTTAAATACAGCTAATATTAGAAAAGTTGATTTCACGCAGTACTAGTTCTATTAGAATGTGGGAGAAAGTTGTGTTTTATATATACTTGTCAGTGTCATTACCTTTATCAAACAATCTTACAACTGAATAAAGTGTCTGGTTGACAAGAATTTACCTTCTGTAAGATCATATAAATTAGCATTAATTATTATTTTTTACATTAAGCCCAGTCCCTGAGCAATCATGTCCCCCCATCAGTGTTTCATTTCTACCTGAAATCAGTGGTAGGCTAACCATCCCCTAAATCCATAGTTCCTTATATAAACCTTTCTAAAATAATGGCACAGTGTTTCATAACCCAGCAGTATGGGTTTCACCACCATCACCTCTAGAAACACCAACCTGTTTGTGCCATGTTCTGTACAGATTACATGAACGCGGCAGATACCAAAGCCACCCAGTGACCTCAGCATCTCTCACGCTGTGTAGTAAGAGCTAGAAACTTACAGCAAGGGATTTAAAATAGAAAGACTAAAGAACCTCTGACTGCCCACATATCCACGTTCGGGGTAGTTTGCACAGCCACACTTTCTGTTCATAGTTACTCTCCTACGATCTTGCATATTTTTATGGGCTTTCAAACTCAAATTATAGGTTCTCCTTCACCAAGTCGGTCGTTTACTCTCTTGCTTGTGTGTTCACCCAGACAAGGGTTTCCGCAGTGCAAAGATAGCACATACAACTGAAAGCAAAGCCAATCTAGAGGTTAGCCACTGCCCAACGGTACAGTATTCCTTTTCCCTCCTCCACCTCCAATCCTATGAGTTTACTGATCTCCCTTATCCCAGCACTGCAGGCTGCCTGTCTACATGCCAAGCTGATTCAAGAAGTTAGGAGAGAAATAAAACAGGGGGGAGGAAAGAAAACAAATTCTTTGCCCTTTTAGTTCCCTGAATGGGCTCACTGTGGGGTCAGGTGAGGTCCAGTGCAAAGGAAGTGATGGGAAATACAGGTTTGGAGGCAGAGGTGGACAAGAAGCCCTTTTTGGCAGCAGGCAAACTGCTAATCTGAGCAAGTGAAATTCTAAGTTTTACAGTGGATAGTTTCAACAGTCAAAACGCTTCCAAAAGGTGCCTTAAAAGGAAACGTGCAGCTCACAATTGGTACAATGCAGGCACTAGAGAACAGAGAAATCATGGCACAAAAACTGAAGCAAATGAAGATATAATGACTAGTTATAGAGCAATAAAATGTGAAAGTACCGTACTTTGGTCTCAGGATACAGCCAAAACACACATCAGACTTATGCCTTCACAACAGTGACTTTGCCTCTTTTGCATAAGCTGCAGTGCAGATTTTCTCCAAGTCTACTACTTCCTCCCTACTGTGACCTGGACAGACACTTTGACAGAGCAAAATTAAGCATAACTCACTCAGACACAGAGTTTCCTACTAGGCGCAGTTCTTTCCATGGACAACTCATCTTCCTGACTGAATTTTACATGTGCCATGAAAACCTAAGATGTGAAGGTCAGTTTGTGAGTCTCTTACCTTGATTCTGTTGTCTGTTGGACAAGACTGAAGAGAGGAGCCATTACACTGGGTCAAATCTCTTCCTGCTCTTTGGGATTGGCCTGCCACCTTCTGCAGGGGGTAGCCACTTCCATTGGGAATCTTTCCAGCTGGTGCTTTGGAATCACAGCCCTAAATTAGGGGAAAACAAGTTGTCACTGCCTTTTTGTCAGTGATGAATAAGCATGAATCAGGGTCAGAAATCCTATCTTCATTCACCCTTAATCCTTTTGTCCTTACAATGCAATCAGCAGCTTTAGTACCCCATTTAATAATAACTACCAGAAATAAGAGAGATTTCAGAGAGCACTGTGACACAACAAGAACAAAGACTTCCCCAACCACCCCACAAGAAGGAAAGCAGAGAGAGGAGGAATTGGAGTCACATCCCCTTGGCATGAGCCAGGTTCCACTGGAAAGATGAGGGACTGAGCCCGCCACTCCTGCTGGCAGCTGCTGCCCAGAGAAATACAACTCCACCTGGGCAAGGGACAGGGGGAAACAAAAAAAAAAAGTGTCTTTCTCTCCCCAGTGCATCAGAATAATTGAGTTTAAAAAGTTATTTTATAGCTGGGATTGTCAGCTTCCAAACAACAAAACGTTCATCTCAGACTTCAGTCTCCCTGTAAATGAGAAGATTAAGTTCCTTTCAAACTTAAAGGTCTCATGTTGGGTCAAAGTAACAACTCATTGCTCTTATGCAATGCCTGACTTTTCAGAAGTCACAGCACAGCAAGAACTGAACAGCCTAAGGAGTTGCTGCTAGGAGCTGTGCAGAAGTCTGAGGACTAGCTGCTCTCCTCTATCTTGGAATTACCATCTGGTACGTCTGTCTACGTCACCCCTTTGCAGCTGGGTAACTCTCCTCTGGACCATTACTGAGTATTACCTGGCCAACCACAAACCCCTTCCACCACACAAAGTTACTCAAACAAACGCCTGGCCCAGGCCATACTCAAGAAGAATGGGCAGTGAAGAACATCTTCCAGGGAAGGCTGGTCTTTGTTCTGACTGAGGAACCTGAAGGGGATTGAGTCACGATGGCTCAGTGGAACATTCATCAGCAAGCTGCCATCCCTCAAAGCTTACTTGAGCAAAAGCCTCATCTGCAGAGCTGCAGCTCCCATTCCCCATAAACGGGGAGTTCTTTTACACATCATAAACACAACCAGCCCAGAGGTGAGAAACGTCAGTTAAAAACACAAAACCAAAGCCTGGAGACAAAACACCTTCCTTTAGAGCCCAGTGGCAAAGTGGCAAAAAGCTCCCAAGAGGCATTGACCAGCTACTCACAGCTCCAGGATCACTTGCTGAGCCTGTCAGATAGGGCAGATGAGGTGTTTAGTTCAGCACTCCCTCCCCTCTGGCTGCTAACTTACCACACCAGGACACTCCTTCTCTTCTTTCTCTAGGAAGATCTTCTCTAGCACCAGGAAGGTCAGGAAACCGATGATCACCCAGAGACCCAGAAGCTTCTGCTGCTGAAAGCTCTGCCCTTCTCCTGAGGGGCAAGAGAGAAATCTTTGTCACTATCAACCACACAGCATCTCCCACGTGTGAACCCACCCAGCCCCAGACAGTTTAACCAGCAGTTCCAAGACAAAAAAAACCCCAAAAACCTCCCAAGAAATGACAATGGAAACACCTCCTGCAAGGAATAAGGAGCAAACATCTCAAAGAAAATTAGTTTAAATTGCTCATTCTTGATCAAACAGATATCCCCATCTCAGGACATTCAGTGAGAGCTCCCACCCCTTTTGTTTCAATAGTGCAATCCAGAATATTTCCTGACAACAACATGAATTTCCCTGAGCTCCAAAGGCAAGCGAAGATTACATCAACAAAAATCCTATAGCTCTATCTACGGAGCAGCAAGCCCTGACATGAAATCAGTCATTAGTGGAGCTACAGACTCACCTTCCCCTTTCTGCCACACCTGGGCGAGTTATTAAGCCCAAAGCTATAAACTTTCCTTTCAATTTCAGCCAAGCTTATGCGATAACCATCCATTCAGCCTGGCTGCAGAAATAGGACTGCACTGCAGGGGAAGAACAGAATGACACTGTAATGGGGCTTACGTGGGTCAAGGAAACCTTTATGCTTCAGGACAGCCTGGCAGAAGCAAACAAGCTAGAGCAGGAAGACAGGCATTGGGGAACCACTCTAGAAAGTGCAAAACAAGGACAGCAAGTTCTGCTGACAGTGCTAGAGCCATGAGGAAGAAAAGGACCCAAGGCCTAGCAGATTTGAAATTCTGGGTCATAAGTGCAAGGAAGTCTGGGAAGCCCAGGACACCCTTCTCCCTTTCTCACATTTTCAGCAAGGAAATGACTTCTTAGATTTAACCCCTTCCTGGCTGAACCCAGCACAGTTTCTCAACAGGTGGGATGCAAGCAGCACTTGCCTTCTGTGCTATCAGTTTGCTGAAGCAGAGAGATACAATTACTACAGGTTTCAACAACCGTGGCTATCTGAGGGGTGAAGGAGATACACTGATACTACGAGCTCTATCCCAACACAAACAGTGCTTATTTTGCTGGCGGACACAGGTTCCTGTCACTTGGTTTTCCTTTTCCTCCTCCTGTCCACCCTCCCCATCTTAGTCATGGCTCTATGAACAATTTCCCATGACTTTTTCTTGAGAGAACACCACATTTGGGCTCCCATAGATCAAAATACCCAGCAGAGGGGCCCAGTTAGTCCCAAGAAAGACGCCCTAGGCATAACACTGTTATAGGGACAGACTTATAGACAAGATGCATCTGATGGAGCAGAATCCCCACCTGAGGTGGTGCACACGTTCATGTACCAGACCACACACACATTCGTAAGTTCCCATCAGGTTAAAGAAGCATGCCCTTTCCTTACAGAAAGGACAAAGGAAAATCAACAGAGATTTACAGGAGTCCAAGGCAAGATAGGAGAAGTTTCTAGACAAGAAATCCATTCCAAGTTATTAAACATAAAAAACAAACTGTGGCCAACTGAGGAAACCTCCAATCTCAAAACCTTCGGAAAACTTCAGAGTACACAGATGAAGCATTATGTGTTTTTATTGTTCTTATATCCTTCCCTAAGCATTTGCTTTTATACGTTGTTTGAAAGAGAATACCAGCTTAGGCCAGTGTTCGGGCTGACCCAGTCTGTCTGGTCTTGTGTTTTCAAGATTGAACATACTCAGAAAATGTAGCAGTAGGCACAGGACAGACTGCTTCTAGGCACATAAGGCTTCCAAACCTGTTGTTGCACTGCATGTGTAGGCCCAGGCTTCGGGAAGCAGGTGCAGAAACACATTCCCCAGGAGTCCACCAATTGCAAAACTCAACAACTGCTTCAAACGGTGTGATCCGGCTAAAAAAAAAAAAAAAACAACACAACAAAACCCAATCACAAGCCAGCTGAGCACCAAAACATCTAAAGCACAAAGAGACCTAAATTGGAAGCATCTGCAAGCAAGCCTTCAAAGGAGAGAGCACAAAACAAATAGCTGGAGTGCAAGAAAAAGCTCTTGCACCACTTGGCTGGGACAGCAGTGTGTGGGATGGTCCCCGACCAAGCAGGGTGCAAAACAAACAATACTTTTTGTACAAGCTCCATCCAGGGCTTGAGTTTGTTCAAGAACTCTCTATCAAATTGGCGGGTATGGACCAAAGCACCAGAAACAGACTGTCTATTTTAGAGGACAGTATTTCTGTGACAAGGTCCTGTCCATCACTGTGCGGTTCAGGCACAACCCAAGACTTTTGGTTTCAGAAAGGCTAACACAGGTAGCAGGCTTACCTTCTGACCGCAGAGCAGCTCCTGTCTCAAACGGAATCACCAACAAGGGGAAGACCCCACTCAGCCCCACCATCAACGAACCGAGGAGGGAACAGATCCAGGCATCTAGCCGCTCACTGCTGAAAAGGCTTCCCCAGGACTCTGCCTCCTTCTCGCACAGAGGACCAGAACTAGCAGCAACATGACTCCTCTGGAGCTGCTGAGCTTCACAGGCCACGATCAGAAGCAAGGGAAGTGTCCCATCAAGCAGAAGCTTTTGTTTTGTCATCGCTAAGTGGTCTCAGCCAGGCTGGCTGATCTCTGAAAAGAGCAGGGGAGAGCAGTTCTGAGAGGAGACCGAGACTCCACCCACCATCCCACAGCAAAGGCCCTAGGGACACCATCCCCTCCCTCAGCATCTCAGCACAGGTATGTATCCCCATAAGGAACATCTGAAACTCCTGCTGATTTCAACACAGCACTAAAGGACAGCGAGGCTGTGTATGAAACTGCACATGAGATATCTTGTGCAAGAGCCTGGCTTTCAGCATCTCCCCTCAGGTGGGCTGGACAAGGACTGCAAGTACCCCTGTCCTTGCACTTCACTGTCCTGAGGCTTCAGAGAAACGTATTGACCAGAGATGCTGCCCAGATAAGATTCTTTGCCATGGAACGGCACCCATGTAACAAATGAGGATGCAAGACGGGCAACAGAGGTCCGTAAAATCACGAGTAGTGTAAAGATGGTGAACGGGTACATTATTCACCATCTCTTCAGAGAGTAAGTGCTAACAACTATCACATGAAGCCAGCCAGGGTCAGCTTCAGAACAAAACAAACACATGTGACTTTATCAGCAGGTAACTTCTAGCAGTACTTCTCCAAAAAACAATGGAAATTTTTACATGAATTCAACAAAAGACAGGGCAAGTACTAGAAGGACAAATCTATTGATTGTTCACGGTTAGACAGCTCACATTAAACTCAAGAGATCCCTTCATCTGAAAGGAGCTGGAGGCTGGAAGAGTAGCTGGAAAATATCATAGATACTTGTCCTGGTTTTATTCTTTCCTAGAAGGATACTGAGTTAGATGGTGTCTCAGTCTAAATCAGCACCACTGTTACTAAGAACGCTTCAATCACAAGAAAACTGGAGAGAAGCGGGCACATTAGAAGAGGAAAATAGTTACACGCTCATTGGCAAACAGAAAAGGAAAGCAAATGATGCAAAGGCTGAAGTACAAATGCTCCTTCGGTGTCCAGAAGAAAGAGTGAAACGTGAAAAGCAAAATTAATTTGAAAATGGGAGAAATGAGCAGGTTAGAAAAGAACAGCTTAACAGATGTTCGCAAAACAGCAGTAGGCTGAGAGGAAATAACGGCATTCACCTGAAAGCATGCAAGAAACCAGTCAAAGTGATCTCCGAAGCATCAGTGACCATCTTTGAAAATTTACAGGAATATGGGAAGGCCACAGAAGGCTGGAGAAGCATCATGCCTCACCTACCTTTGTAAAAAGAAAAAAAAAAGGTGGGAGAAGACTTAAGAAGTCACAGACCAGTAACTTCAATCCTCTGAAAGATCCTTGATCAAGTTAAATGATCATTTTGTAGTTACCTATAAGATAAGAAAGTGATAAAGATAGCAAAGCATTAAGTAAAAGCCAGACAGAAAGGGGCCTGAAATTACCAAGACAATATTCAGGATGTTGGAACATTCAATGTAAGGGCTCACTGCAGCTAAAAAGAGCAGTGTTGCCCCTTGTCCCCCACCCCATCAGGAAGCATCCCCTCCCCATGCTCACACCCGATTCTGTGAGTGAACAGGGTCAGAAGAAACAAGCAGGAAAAAACATTTTTTAAAAGATTTGTCCCTTTTCCAATTTCAGTCCCTGAACTAAATCACTGCAGGAGGAAGGCCCAGCTGCAGTGAGCAATCAAAAAGAAAATTGAAGGACAGGGTCCCCTGGCTCCTAGGAGAACATCTGAGCTCCAAGCACAGGGACCATGGACACCAAAAGCAGGGAGGATGCAAGAAGGAGCCAGTGGAGACAAGGGCTTGGCTAGCTGTGCAAGAACCACTACAACTTTTTGTGGCAAGATAATGTCTGACCAAGTGTAAACTCTACTGACTCATACAAAACCCATCTGCACTTTTTTTTTGGACAAGAAAAAGAATCCCTCAACATAGCGAGTTCAAACCAGCTATGGATTTTGTACCATCTTAATGCATCTGGCTGCAGGAACCCTAGACCTACCCACAGCACAGGATCACACCAATCGCAGTAAAGACCAGTACAAAACAGTATACTAAAGGGGGAAAGAAAAAAAATCAAATGGACATGACAAAACAGTATCTCCAATGTGCCACAAAAAAAATTGCATATATGCATTACAGTGATTCACAAATTAATTCCAAGCCCGCAGGCTTATGTTGCTACAAAGTAGGTAGATGACATCCTGGGACATACTAGCAGGTCCAGTGGAAGGTGTCCCTGCCCATGGCAGAGGGTTTGGAACTAGATGATCTTTAAGGTCCCTTCCAACCCAAACCATTCCATGATTCTATGACATTGTAGGTGTGACACAGCAGCAGTGATTGCACTGCACCCCACACACCAGACTTCAGCCCACCGCACCCCAGCCTCACGCACTCTTCTTTATAAAACAGATGCAAAAGCGAGAGATGTTCCAGTGGAAACAAAAATTAGAGTGTAGGAAACATGACCTGGAAAACATGACTGAAGGGCCTGGGTGTGTTTAGTCTTAAGAAGATAAGACTGAAGGGAACAGAACACTCTGCATACATTAAGTCACAAGAAAGGGGGAAAGTGCTCAACTTTTCTTCCACGTTGCAGCATCAGCTCAAATGGTAAACAAGATTCAGCCTGGATATGAAAAAACAAATTTACATAGTGCCAAAGTGGTGATATACTGAAACAGGTTATCTATGATGCAGAATCTCCAGCACTGGGTTTTTGTTGCTGTTACGGCTTTGTTTGCTTTGGGTGTTTTCGTTGCTGTTGGTTGGTTTGGGACTTTTTTTTTTGAGAAAAATAATAAACACCTGATGCAGATGCTATTTCACTGCAAAGACTAGACCCCTTCTTGAACTCCTTCCAGACCTACACCTGTAATTTGGGGTAAGCTGGTGAGATCCTTGTTCTACTGGCAGGACCCTATGAAAGATGGCAGGTTTTCAGCTGTAAATCACTATTGGCACAACCACTTCAAAACAACAGGGAAGGGGGAGGTGAGGGGTGGCAAGAAGGAACATTATCATCTCTCACAGCCCTCCGTGCACCAGTTCAACACAGGCACTGAAGTGAACAGGTGCTGGGCTGATGCTCAGAGCACCAGTAACAACTGTGAGGAGAACCAGATGGGTCAGAGATGCAGCTCTCTGCCCCGTTCCACCACACACACCCGGGATGCTGCCAGGCCCCCTGGCTCCCTGACTGGGATTCAGGGTCCCCCACCCAGCTACGCAAACAGACACAACACTGGTAAAACTATGCCACAGAATCCCCCAAATTTCTCCTTGGGGAAAAACAAACAAACAAAACCAAAAACCAACCCACAAACCAAAACAAAAACACAGGAAACTTAAAATGTTAGCTGGTCCCTAACCGAACAGTTTCTTCTGTCCCAAGGACTCATAAAGGCTGAAGCCATCAGACACAGAGGCTGCTGCACAGGGAGGTGATGGAACTCTTCCAGCAGATTACACCAGCTACAGCCTTCTCTCTGCTTAACTAGCTACTGCATAATCACCTGTAGAAAAAGACAGGCACCCCTTCCAACCCCAGAGTGGGCCTGACAGGCACCCTCTTCCTTTACAACAGGATTAGACCTAGAAAATGACTAACAGCTTCTTTCTGAGGAACAGAGAGGGTGGAAAAAAAAAAAAGCAGGATTTATACAGCCACCATATGCCTATGAAGAGGCAATAAACACACACAGCAAAACGACTGCTCTCCACAGCTCGGCAATGCTGGAAAATGGCACAAACCAGCCCCTTCTGCAACACTGCCATCACAGCTTTTGAGATTCAGTCTGGAAAAGTAATCACTGCAACTGATCCAACAGGTTCATTTCTTCCGACTCGTTCTCCATGCTCACAGCCCCTATCTGCCCCAAGGGACACCTGAAAGAGTCTCAGAACAGGTCACCAAAGTTCTGGAGAGAAGTAGTAGCACACATAGGACAAAGGAGCTCTGACAACAGGCTGCTTAACTGGCTTCATGTCCTTCTTCCAGCAGAAAAAAGGACCAGGCTCCTCTGAAAAGGGATGGTGGTGGACAATAAATGGGCATGAACAGGTAGAAAACTGATTCCCCTTACTCAATTTCTCAGTCAACTTTCTGTGGCCCACATGTCTGTCTTCTCTTGCTACTCACACAAGGCAGAAACAGTGCATTTCTTTACACCTGTGCTCCCTGGCCATCACTACCTTGTGGCTCAAGAACATCGCGGTATCTCATGCAATAAATTCCTGATGCTTATAAAACATCAACGAGGAACTTGGCGCATCATACAGCACACACCCGCACTGATCTTTGTGCCCAGCTAATTATTTAGAGCATATACCCAGCATTTGCTTCTTCCTAACATATTGTAACCGCTTGCTCTAGAAGTGTTTATCTCTATAGCCCCTTGGCTTCTCTATCTCATTAGTACACGCACCCCATGACACATTCAGTTTACTTAATGTTTGCAAAGTCTCTACATTCAAACTGGCTGCTCCTAAGACAGATATTTAAGAGGAAGAAAAGGAGCAGTCCAGATGTATTCATAGGGGAAAAAAGCTCAAGAGAAAATAATACCCTGCTACTACAGTTACAGAGGGCAGCAGAAGGGTTTACCTACCCCTAATTTTAGACAACAGCATCTGTTTTAGGAAGCCAACTAGCAAAGGTCTTTAGAAATTTCTAGAGAAAGCACCTGCAGGTTCTCAGAGAAGTCTGTGGTCACTATAAGGCAGAGGCATAACCAGGTTTAGAGAGATGTGTTTTTTTCAAGATGAGTATATAACCTTTTTATGAATATATGCATGGGAGAGAAATAGCCAGTGCATCATTCACTTGTCAGTTTTGACAACGGCATCATTTGGAATCACAGCTCCCACCAGCTGTGTCAGATGACAACATGGTCACCATTGCCACTGGCAGCATCTGCCAGAGTGCCACGTGTCCTGTGCAGGTCTCAGAGCTGAGCCTTCAAGAGTCAGGTCTGCTCAGCTCCTTCCACAACAGCCTCAGGACTGGAATAACCATGAGGTCTTCCCAGCT